AGTTATTTTACAAGAAGTGCTTCACTTCTTAAAGACAAATGTTCCTAACTTCTTTCTATATAGAACTCAAGACTAGTAGGGGAATAGCCATACAACATACTGTAATAATAAGGGTACAAACTATGACAGAAGTGTTAAGGGGCAAGTTACCTATTCTGCCTGTTGTGAGGGACTGATTTAGACAGGGATCCAAGAGAGGTGATGAGGCAGTCCAGAATTTTGAGGTATGAAGAGATTTCTGGGAAGAAAGGAAGTCAAATCAGACCAGAGCATGTGCTTGTGTGGAGTCATGAAACAGAACTCCATGTTTGGAAAACTAGGCATTGTTTATTATTGCCGGGTAGAGGATTAAGGTAGGTGGAAAGGTTAAAAATGAGCCCTGGGAGGTGTACAAGCGTAGTATTAAGGATGTTATACACCAGTATATCTCAAACTGTTGTTAAGGACTGGACTAAGCTTTTTCTTTAAAAAAAAAAAAAAAGAAATTCTAATGTTGCCCACTAATTTTATAAAATACAAAAAAAGTGGATTAGAAAAAAAATCACCCCATTTTAAAAATTAGAGTTCATAAATATTGTTTCTCCCTCAGATTGCTAGTAAACTTCTTAAGCATACTTCTGCAATAGTTTTATTGCAGATTAGTATCAAAATATCAAACAGTATCAAACTTTGAATAGCAATTTGTAGTTTCTTTATATCTATGTTTTGGGTTTCATCCTACAGAGATAGATAATGTGGAACCATAAAGACTGCATCTTAGGAATGGCAGGGTCAGATCTGCATTAAGGAGCAAAGTAGAGGAAGGATTTATAACTGCAAAAACAGGGAAGCCAGATGAAGGAAACCAAAGGATGCTGTCGCTTCAAGATCCTCCCAGTGAGAAATTACAAAGTGCTGGGTGCATTTAGTGGCATGGAATGGAGAGGAAAGGACAGATCTAAAAGATAGAAAATAAAATCTATAGGACTTGGTGATGGCTGAATTGTTTTCATAAAATATTCACAATCTGCAATCCTTTATTTATAATAATAAATTTTGAAATTAGGAAAACCAAAAGTTTTTTTCATAACTTACTTGACACATTAAAACCTATTCTGGAGGCTGGGATGTAGTTCAGTGATAGAGCACTTGTTAAGTGCCAGGCCCTCCATCACTGAAAACAATAACAAAGCCTTCAACCTAATCTGAATTGTGCTTATTTTGTGGCAAAGAATCTGACCTAAACTTACATGAGATTATTTATGGTTTTCATTTATACCTCTTTCATTTATCTTAGTATCACTATTCATATGTCATTGCAGAAATATTAATTTGGTTAACAGGTGTTGTCCTAGATGCCATTACGATTGTTGCCTTGTATAGTGCATATGTGCCATTTTATTTTTCTAAAATTCAAGAAGTTCTGAACACACATTTACATCCAGATTTCCCACCCTATTTACTCATCAGCCTTGGCCTAAGTTTTTTTTGGCTATTTGCATAAATCAGATCCACCTGCAGATAATGAATATTCATTGTAGCGTGTGCTACATAGATTTTGAAGGTGAATCTCAAAGTGTTTTGAGTGGTGTCCTCGTTATTAAAATAAGGCAAAAATTACTCCTTTTTTTTCTGTCTTTTGGTACTGGGAATGAAGTGCTTTGCCACTGAGTGACACCCTCAACCCTTTTTATTTTATTTTTTAAATTTTGAGATGGAGGTGTATACGTGTGGGGGTTATCCCTAAGTTGCCTCCAGAGCTGCTGGGATTACTGGCCTTGAACCTGAGATCCTCTTGGCTCAGTCTGTGGAGTCACAGGTATTATAAGCATTGAAGTACTATATTGAACCAACAGCAGTCATTTGTGTGATAAGGTGTGATATGTTTGTGGACCACTAATCTCATTACTGTATACTTCATTTACACATTTTAATAATCAGTAGTTAATGATCTTTTGGAATTAGTTCCCAAACCTGAAATTAAATTGCCTTTAGTCAAAACCAAAAAGCAAGCTCTGAATGGTGTGGAAGAAAAAATGGAGTGTGTGTGTGTTTATGTAAGTGTATGTGAATTATATATTTGTACATAATAGTATTCTGAAATATATATAAAATATACATATATACACATGCATATTACTAGACTTTAAGAACTATATTATACTTACAGAAACATTGAAAAGAGTGCAGAGAGTTCCCATGGGGGGGGTCGGCGGGCAGGTAACTGTTGATTGAACTCAGGAGCACTCAACCACTAAGCCATATCCCCAGTATTTCATTTAGACAGGGTCTCACTGAGTTGCTTAGTCTTACTTGCTGAGGCTAGCTTTGAACTCAGTTATCTTCCTGCCTCAGCCTCTGGAGCTGCTGTGATTACAGGCTTGCGCCACCACGAGGGGAGGATTCCCATTATTTACCCTATTACTATTCAACATTAGCATGGTATATTTTCCACCATTAGTAAAATATTATTCATTTACTATTATTATTATTACAATACTGAGGATTGAACCCAGAAGCACTGTAACACTAAACTATATCCCCAGTCCTTTTTTAAAAATTTGATACTTGGGATTGAATCCATAGGAACTCTAGCGCTCAGCCACATCCACAGCCCATTTTATTTTTTGAGAAAGGGTCTTGCTAAATTGCCCAGACTGGTCTTGAACTTGCTATTCTACTGCCTCAGTCTTCTGAGTAACTGGGATTACAGGTGAACATCACCATAGTCAGTTATTCATATATTATTATTGACTGAAGTTTGTAGTTTGTTCATATTTCCTTAGTTTTATTTTTACCTTTCTTTTTTCTGGTCCAAAATCTTACCCATAATACCACATTAAACTTTTTTTTTAAGTTTTATAACTTTTTTTATTCTTATTTGTATTATTTTTTTTTTAGAGAGAGAATTTTAATATTTATTTTTTAGTTTTTTCGGCGGACACAACATCTTTGTATTTGGTGCTGAGGCTCGAACCTGGGCTTCACACAGGCCAGGCGAAAGCGCTACCGCTTGAGCCACATCCCCAGCCCTTATCCTTATTTTTATTTTTTTAACGTAGTGCTGAGGATCGAACCCAGGGTCTCACATGTAAGAGGCGAGTGCTTTACCGCTGAGCCACAACCCCAGCCCCTTGATATTTTTTTTTCATATTTTATTTTTTTAGTTATAGTTGGACACAATTCCTTTATTTTATTTATTTGTTTTTATGTGGTGCTGAGGATTAAACCCAGCACCTCGCATGTGCTACACGGGCACTCTGCCGCTGAGACACAACATCAGCCCCTGGTCTTGATAGTTTGAGAAGCATTTTTGATTACTGTCCTTCTGGAATTTGTGCAATATTTTTGTTTTGATTAAGACTGGTATTAACTAGTTTTTATTATTTGTTTTTGCAATGCTGGGGATTGAACCCAGGGCCTCATTCATGCTAGGCAAGCAATCTAACACTGAGTGACACCCCCAACCCTGTTATGAGTTTTGAAGAAGAATACCACAGAAGTAAATTACCATTTTCATCAGATGATAGCAAGGGTACATGTAATATAAGTGTGATTTATTGCTGTTGATATTGACCTTTCTTGGTCATCTGTTGAGTGTTTCTAGGAGACAGGATGAACATTGAAGTATGGTTGGCCTAAACGTTTTATGAGAATGTAATTTCTTTTCTTGTCCATAGCTCAGGACATTTGGAATTTTTAAAACGTCCTTGTTTTGATGGGCTGGGATGTAGTTTAGTGGCAAAGAACTTTCTTTGTATACCCGAAGCCCTGGGTTCAATCCCAGTTCCAAAAAAGAAAAGACAGAAAAAAACAAAACAAAACAAAACAAAAAAACCTTCCTGTTTTGAAAGCTTGAATCTTCAGAAGTTATCCCTGTCCTTGAATTTCTGAACTCACTTGGCTCCTTTGTGTCTAGTTTTATTATCTACAACTATTAGATCCTATGGGGATTCCTTTGCCTCTTATCCTGGACTGCTGCTGCTTTTGTTTTTCCTTTCCATGCTTTTTAAATTGGTGAATTGTAGTTGTGTATTATAGAGTGATTTGCTGTCGCATATTTGTACATGCTATCTTTGGCTTAAATGGCAATAGTAAAGAGACCTTTTCTTAATTCTCAAATTAATTTTGTTTTGAATTGAACATCATTTAAAAAAAAATCCCTATGACATTTTTGTGTTTGTGGGGACCAAATCAACGCTTTGCATATACTAAGATGGCATTCCACCACTGAACTACATCCCCAGACATATGGCCACATTTTTAAAAATATTTATTTTCTATTTGTACACAATATCTCTGTTTTATTTATTTATTTTTATGTGGTGCTGACGATCGAACCCACAGCCTTGCACATTCTAGGTGAGCGCTCTACCGCTGAGCCACAACCCCAGCCCCACATTTTTAAACTCCAACATTTATGCCTGACAACACAAAATTTTTGTGATTTCTGTTTTAAATCATTTAGGACTTTGGAAGACCACACTTCGCCAAATCGTTTTATTTTAAAACATTGTTTTATTTTAAAACATGAATAGACTCTCTTCATAAAGAGATCTTGATTATAGGCTTCCTATAACAAAAAGATCGTGGTTAAAAAAAGAAGAAGAAGAAGAAAAAGAAAGCAGAAGGAACTTGAGACAGTTTCGATGGAAATACCAAGTTTTGATCAGGAGGCTTCGCCAATTCTGGCTTTCCATTGGCTAAACTTGCCATCAATTGCGCTTGTAAATAAACTGGGGAACGGAAGCATGTTGTTAAGGGGTGGGATCTTCCTGTTGCCATTGCTAAGGTGAGGCGAGAACCGGTTTTCTAATAGGCTAAAGCTGCTTCTCCCGCCCTCTTACATCAGTTGCTAAGGGGCGGGACTCCTAGGGTCCTGGGAGAAATTAGAGCTCGAAGCCCCGCCCTCCAAGTTAGTGGCTAGGAGAGGGCCTTGTAGCTGACAGGCTGTTGGGACTGCCTGTTAGGGGCTAATAGCAGGGGAGAGGCAAGAGAGGAGGAGGCGGCTTAAGGCAACCATGGCGGGAGGAATCAAAGTAGCGGTGTCGCCGGCTGTTGGTCCCGGGTCCTGGGGCTGGGGGGCCGGGGATGGTGGGGCAATGCGGCTGTTCTTGGTCTTTTCCGGCTGCTTGGTCTGCGGCTCAGGTACCACCCGGGCAGCAGCTGCTTTGGGGGTGGGGGCGGAAGGGTTTATTTTTGGAAAAGTGGGTCTTGCCCTGAAGGCGTGGGCCGTTACTCCTCAGAGGGGCGGTGGCTCTGTGGAGTAGCCCGGGGTGCGGGGGGAAGCCCCTTCGGGACTGGTGGGTTAAGGCCCTTGGGAGGTCTTGGGGAGCTCCCCGAGAGTGGAGGATCCTGGAATCTTTTGGCGAACACTGGAAAAAGAGGCCTGCGCTGAGTGAGAATTGGCCGTGGGGACTTTGCCACGCTGCTGGGGTCTTCTCGAGATTCTAGGTTAAAAGGAATAAGATCCCGGAACCTTTCGGGGATGGGGGAGAGGCCTCATGAAAGGGAGGATCACATTTATTTAGCAAATTAGCAAACACCTTCTCAGCCAGTGCGGTCAGGAGCAGGAGCATGGGCGGTAGAATAGGTCTCTAGAGTTTACAGAAATACATTGTTCTTTAACATCTGCTCTTTTAAGACTCTGTCCCCTAACTGCCCTATTTAACGGACCTGAGATCATTATACTTCAGTTTCCCCAAAAAAGATGCTAGTGCTATTTAACATCAATGGGTTTCTTTTTGGAAATTTGTGGATTCCTTCAAACACATGTGTTTGATATCTGCTAGCTGGACTGACAGTTTGGGATTGGGAAGGAAGCTTTTCACTCGAATCCAGAAATCTTAAAGTATGTTTTTTAGAAACTTCCTTTAACCTTTGTTAAATTCATGATAGAAAAATAAGTGGGGTTCCCAAGCTTCCACTGGAGGGAGTGGAAACGGCGGAGGAGAGTAAAAATAATCTTATCTTGTAAACACATGCAATGCACTCTCATTTTTCCTTTTAGGTTCATGTCTATCTTCTGCTGTCATTTAGGATTAAGGCGTCATATCAGCACTCAAAGATCTAGTTCCAAACTGCAGCATCCTTCTGAAAACTTTTCCTCCTAGGGAGAGGGGAATAAGTATTCAGGAATGTACTTTTACAGAGTCAGGGCCTACAATGGCATTTGAAGGCTATTATCAGATTGAACTTCTAAAATGAAATTGTGGTTTGTAGAAAGGAGAAAATATTAAGCACTCAGTCAGAAGTTTCTTTCTCTTTGAAGTTTCTTTTTTTTCTTTCTGAGCCCTGCAGATTTGTTGAGAGGAACAGGAACTTCTTGGCTTAGAGAAAAGTAAACTTGGGGATGATATTTGTTCTGTACAGCCTGATATATTATGTGGGTGGCAGCTACAAAGAGCCATCATGTAATAGAGAATGAAATATTATTGCAAAAGATAGGTAGTAGTGGTGTACTAGTGGCACATGCCTGTAATCTTAGCTACTGGGAGATTGAGGCAGAAGGACAGCAAGTCCAGCCTGGGCAATTTAGCAAGTTACTCTCTTAAAATAAAAAGGGCTAGTGATGTAGCTCAGTGGTAGAATACCCTGGGTTCCATCCACAATGCCCCCCCCCCCCAAAAAAAAAAGATCTAGTTTCTTCTCATTGGATTTTTTTTAAATGAAGTTTTTCTTTATTATGAAATTGTATACTCAAAGCATATATAAACCACAGATTGATTTTTATCCTACCTCCGATTTACATGTTATATGTAGAAGTTCACTCATTTTGTCAAGAAAACTCACAATGAAATTGAGATTCATATTTGGGTGGGGAGGTAAGGGTTCTCATTGGATTTTTAAAAATATTTTTTTTAGTTGTAGACAGACACAACACCTTTCTTTCTTTCTTTCTTTCTTTCTTTAATGTGGTCCTGAGGATCGACCCAGTGCCTTACGCGTGCAAGGCAAATGCTATACCAATTGAGCAACAACCCCAGCCCTCATTGGATATTAAATATTTTTTTTAGTTTTAGATGGACACAATATCTTTATTTTATTTATTTTTATGTGGTGCTGAGGATTGAACCCAGTGTCACACTGCCCTAGGCAAGTGCTCTACCACTGAGCCACAACCCCAGTCCTCACTGGATGTTTTTGAAATGTTTGATTATAAAGGTAATACATATTTGTTCTAAATATTTTGCAAGTACAATTAAGCATAAAGAAGTAATCAAAACTCTCATTGTTCATTCCATTTAGATGTAATCAATTTTATCACATTCTCTTCTGGTCTTTTTCACATGATTTTATTATTTTTTGTTTTTTTTTTTTCAGAACTGGGATTAAACCCAGGCCTTGTGCAGGCTAGCTAAGCACCCTGCTACCTGGTGCTACTACCTGTGTTTTGAAATAGTACTCCATTCTCTTTAGGTACTTGAGCCCAGCCCCTAATTATTAATCTTTGAATAGGTACTTTATAGGTAATACAGTTAGCAATTTATTATTCAGTAAATTCTGGGAGGTTTAGAAGTTGTTTTCCTGAATGTTTAATTTGTTCTGTTCTTTCATGTTTGCTAGTTTTTATTTTTATCATTTTGCAGTCCTTGAGATCTAACCCAGGGCCTCATACATGCTAGACAAGTGCTCTATTGAATTATACGCCTGACTTTAATTTATTCTGCTTTTTAACATGTAGGCTAACTCACTTTGAGGAGGGAAGGAAAAGTGATGTATGTTATTTTGCTATGGGAAATACAAAGTACTAATATATTTAAGGTCATTTGGTTTAGTTGTATATTTCTAAAAATATTAATCTGTATCTGGAGTCCTGCTTGTTTCTGCAGATTATTCCCTAAGGCCGAATTGTCATATTGTCCCCCTCAGTTCATTTCCAAGGATATGGCTAGCCAAGGTGCTTATTTCTCTTGGAGGTTACTATCGAAGAGGTTTATTTATTTATTCATTTTTCCCCCTTGAATAGTATGGGACTCAGGAAAAGAAAAAAACTAGATTTTTATTAATTCTGGCATTGGGTCTTACAGGACAGTTTTATTTCTTTAGGAATGTGGCTTTGGAAAACTTTAAGGTTACTGTTAAAATGATGGTGCTGGGCATGGTGCCATGTGCCTGTAATCCCAGCAGCTTGGGAGGCTGAAGCAGGAGGATCCCTTCAAAGCCAGCCTCAGCAACCTGGAGAAGCTGTAAGCAATTTAGCAAGATCCTGTCTCTGAGTAAAATATAAAAAAGAGCTGGGGATATGGCTCAGTGGTTAAGCGCCCCAGGTTCAATCCATGGCACCAAAACAATCAAACAAAAGAAAAACAGTGATGTTTTTTCCTGACATTAAGTTTTTCAAATGTCCTGTGGTACTGATGCATTATTTGTATCTAACTACCCTTTTGAAAGTAATAATAGACTTAGAAAAGTGTTATGTCATATTATTTGGTGCTGTGGGAGAGAAAGGATTAATAAGTGTTTTTTTTTTCTTTTTCTGCACAGGTGCATGTTTTTGCCTAGGGATTTGTAAATAGACTATATATTATTTTAACAAAGTAATCAGTTCATGTTTAACTTTAACTTCCCGATGTTCTTGTTTAACTTTGCAGTGTTTTTGCAGGTCTCAACACATTTGTAAATACAGTATGTTTAACGTTTTATGTAACCTTACTCTTCACTCTTCATAAGAAAATTAACTTGATCTATATTTGTGAATGGGTATTCTTTTTGTATATTTGTAGGTTTGTTAGGGAGATAAGTGTCAACAGGACTTTGAAAAGGCTTCATTTTAGGAAAGACTTGGAGGAAATCCAAATTACTATTGTATAACCCTAGTGAGAAATTGATAGTTTATAAAGACCTAATTTTTTAAAAAATTGAGATATAAATTTATACACCATAAGATTCTCTCTTCAGTGGTTTTTAATGTTTCACTAGGTTTTGCCAACATCACCACTGTCTAATTACATAAAATTTTAGTCACTCCAAAATGGAACTCTATATACTACCCATTCTCCTCTCCTTCTAGCCCCGGGCAACTACTAATCTATTTCCTGTCACTGTGGATTTGCTTCTTTTAGACATTTTGTATCAACAGAATTGTACAATATGTGGCTTTCTGTTGCTGTGTGTGTGTGTGCGCGTGTGTGTGTGTGCGCGTCTGATTCCTTTTATGCAGTGTAATGTTTTCCATAGTCATCTATCTTTTCTTTTTGGTACTGGGAATTGAACCCAGAAGTGCTGAGCTACATCCACAGTCCTTTTTATTTATTTATTTATTTTGAGATAGAGTCTTATTAAGTTGCTGAGGGTCTCACTAAGTTGCTGAGGCTGGCCTTGAATATATGAGCCTCCTGCTTCAGCCTCCCAAGTCACTGGGATTGTAGGCATATGCTACCAAGCCCAACAAATTCATCTGTCTGGTAGCATATATCAGTACTTCATTTCTTTTTATGGCTGAATATATCCATTGTATGGATATACTACATTTTGCTTATCTGTTCTTTCCGTTGGTGGACATTTGGGTTGTTTCTACTTTTTGGTTGTTTTGGATAATGGTGCTGTGAAAATTCATTCATATGTTTTCATGTGAACACATTTCTTCAGTTCTCTTGAGATATACTTAGCAGTGGAATTGTATGATAACTTTTTGAGGAACTACCAAACTTTTTCAATTACCAACTACCAAACTTCTCCATTACCATTAGCAATATATGGAGGTTCTAATTTTTCCATATCATCAACCAATACTTGTTATTGATCTCTTTTTTAATATAACCATTCTGATGGGTGTGAAATAGTATTTCATCATGGTTTTGATTTGCATTTCCCTAATGACTAATGATGTTGAATTTCTTTTCATGTGTTTATTGGACATTTGTGTATTTTCTTTGGAAAAATGTATACACATCCTTTGCTTATTTAAAAAATTGGGTTGTTGTTGAGTTGTAATAGTTATTTTTGTATTCTGGATACTAAACCATACACGATTGCAAATATTTTCTCCCATTTTGTGGGTTAGTCTTTTCGCTTTCTTGATAGTGTCCTTTGAAGCAATATTTTGTTGTTGGTTTTCTTTTTTTGGTGCTGGGTGAAGTCAGTTTACCTAGTTTTTCTTTAGTTGCTTATACTTTAGAGTTATATCTAAGAAACTGTTACCTAATCTGAGGTCATAATGATGTACACCTATGTTTTCTTCTGAGTTTTGTAGTTTTTTTGCTAAAAGACTAAATGTGAAATCAAAATTGGTCTTAGCTTCACCCCAAAACCATTTGGACTCAGTGGTAGGCATCAGTGCTTTTTGTGTGTGTGTAATTTTGACTTTCTAAGATTTGATCAAGATTTTTGTATTTTTTATTTATTTATTTTCTAGCTTATTTTAATTTCCCCACCTTTATACTATATCAAGAACCAAAGTGATAACTAAATTTCCAGTTGATAGAATTTGATAAATTGGTATGCAAAACACAGAACTTTAGAAAGAAGTTACAGGGTAGAGATGCAGCTCAGTGGGAGAGGACTTTACTCCAGGTGTGAGGCTCTAGATTCAATCTCCAGCACTGGGGAAAAAAAAAAAAATTAAATGCATGTGTTTAAAACAGGAATGTGAACAAAATTGGATGGGAAAGTATAGGAAACTGGTCACTCCCCTCTCTGACCCCTGTAGTGGGGATTAAGCCCAGGGCCTTGCACATGCTAGGCAAGCTCTCTACTACTGAACTACATCCCCAACCCTTTTTTAAAAATTCTGTTTTTGAGGCAAGGTTTCACTAAGTTGCCCAGGTTGGCCTAGAACTTGCCATCCTCCTGCTTCAGCCTCCCAAGTAGCTGGAATTACAGATGTGCCACCACACCTAGCTGAATGGTCACTCTTAAACCTTGAATTAGCTAAGGGTGAATACAAACTGAGGGGAGAATCTTCCATTTTGATAAATCAGAGGGACTGCATATTGGCTGCTCTTAAAACTTGAAACAGCTGGAATAAACAGCAACTTTGCAATCTTTTAGTTTCTTCTTAAAGACTTATTAAAAACAAAAACAAAACAAAACAAAAAAAACTTCTGTTAGTTTGTCATATTCAGGGTATCTAGAAAAATCAACATATGGGGTTACTTTAGCTTACTTTAGTTATCCCATTACAGGAAAAGCAGGATAACATGGTTAAAGCTGTAGTCAGACCTGGTTGTGACTCTCACCATTAGGCTGTTTACTAGCTGTCTAACTTTGGACAAATTACTTAACCTTTCTTCAATATTAGTTTCCTCATTTGTAAACTAGGCATTATGGAAATATCTCTCATAGCACTGTTAAGAGGGTTAAATGAAACAGCACTCTATGTTAATAAACACTTAATAGTAGTTAATACTTATTCTGAGTTAATGACTATTTGAAATATTTAAATAATAAAATTTTGGGGTTGAGTGGTAGATTGTGTTCTTAGCATGCTTGAGGCCCTGGGTTTAATCCTGAGTGCACGCAGTCCTGCACACAATTAAATGGAACAGAAATAAGATTCTGCCTTATTCTTTCATTTTAGTTTTGTTTCTTGGTCTGGCTGATATTTCAGCTCCAAGTTTAAGAAAGTGGTTAGTTTAGTTCTTATGAAATGAGTTACAGTTATTAGGTTGTTCTGTTATACTTAATTTTTGTTTCCTTTCTTTGCATAAAGCTGGAATTGATGTAAATGTGATCATGCTTCAGGAATCCCGAGTTTATAGTATGAGTACCAGCCAACAGTTCTGTTATAAAAATGTGCTTGTCCCAAAGTGGCATGATATATGGACACGGATACAGGTAATAATTTGGAAGCCCCTCGCAGGGGCATCTCAGCTCCCTTAAGAAGCTTACAGTACTATGACTTTGAGGTAAACTTCCTTTCTTCTTTTCCCAAAGAAGCTTCCTCCCCTTTCTTCCTTTTGGCAATATGCACATAAACACACCTCTCTCTTTTTAAAGCCCTTATACCTTCTTTGGGCTGGAAACTGGCATGCCTGTCAGGACGTAAACTCTTGCCTCGCTGCCCCTGTTCTATTTTGATTCTACAAAAGATGTTTTATAAACCACCTGAGCTGAAGTTTCCCCTTGGTAAAATGACTTTGGTCTTATTTATTTCATAACACTGTTAAGTCACCTGGCAAGCAAGAGTGTCTGGCTGTAATAGTGATTGAACAAAATGAGTCCTTTTGAAAATGTTGCTGCTACTATAAGTATAGTTACTGATAAGGGTATTTGTTGTTCACCTCAAAAACCTATGAGGGGGCTTGTGGTTTTTGTTTTCTTTTTTTAATTCTCTTTTTTTATTGTCTCGTATAAAAATCATACTCCATCTGGGGTACATTATAATCAGCATTTACACATAATCCGTGATTTGCAACAATAGGTTGAACTTCTCAGCCTGTCATTATGGGAAACATTTTTAGTTTTCTGGGGCTGTTTATGATTGGTAATTTTCTTAATAATCTAGATCCTTTCTTTGTATGATCTCTTATAAATAGCTGTATTGATAACTCAGCTTGAGAGTCTTTCACCCCACTATGTTCTGGCCTAATAGTAGATTCAGATCATGTTAACAAGAAGACATTCTAACAGCTTCCTTTCTGTGCCATGTGCAGTGTTATTTGCCCAACTATGTTTTAGCTGCTGTATCTCTATATTTCTGATAAGCCTTGTAGAAAACTGACCACTACTGATTTATTTACCTAAGGGTTTTTAAAAATTTTATTTGAAATTTTAAAAACCTACTTCCTTCTTTCTCATCCTGATTTACTTGTGTTACAGATCCGGGTAAATAGTTCCACATTGGTCCGAGTCACCCAGGTGGACAATGAGGAGAAATTGAAGGAGCTCGAGCAGTTCAGTATCTGGAACTTTTTTTCCTCTTTTTTAAAAGAGAAATTGAATGACACCTATATTAACGTGGGTCTATACAGCACAAAAACCTGCCTTAAAGTTGAAATTATAGAGGATGCCAAGTACAGTGTCATTGTGACCCGGAGTAAGTCTCACCCCTGTTTTTCTGATGGATTCTAGATTGAGAAGGGAGTGAGTTCTGGAGGGTATAATTAGTGAGACAGACAAGTCCACCCAAGATGGCTCCCTTTTGGTTCTGATTATAGCCCTGAGTGTACCATAGCTCCAAACAGTTCACAAAGACTCCACCCACATAAGACTCTTTAGACCTAGAATCGAGACACTACCTCAGGCCATTCTGAGTACCTCCTTCCTAAAATTGTGAAGTCTTGCATTTCTAATATTGCCAATGGCCCTGAGCTGATATGCATAGTACTCTTATAGTGAGTCAGTTATGTTTATGCCTTCTAGACACTTCTAGACAAAGGTAGCTGTCCTGTATTTGGAGACTCTAGTGGTTAAATAATAAAAACCAAAGAAAGATAAAATTGGTTATTAGTAATTCACAAATAAAAAGAGTGGAACTGTAAGTAAAGACCATTGCAGTTTAAGACTTATTCAGTGGAGCTGGGAAATGTTTTTCCTTCTCTGAAGATATCTGAGAAAATTTTAGAGGAGATGGATTTTGTTGAGTTCTCTCCAACTTGGGTTTTCCTTTGTTATTACCTGGGATCCTGGCATATTGTGAATAGTAGACATGTTTCTAGGTTTTTGCTACAAAAATAGATTATGCCCTTCCAAAGTCATAGAGTTCCATGGTTTTTCGGTGTACCCTTCTACATTAACTAAGCCCTCTGGCTCTGTTTGTGGGCCTCCCGTAGATTCAGAGCTCTTGAATGTAAAAGCTGTAGGAGTCTCTGGTATGCTATTAAGGGGTCTTTGCTTGGGCTCTCTGGTCTTGGGCAAGATGTATTTGACAGGTAGCTTTTTCCAGCACAGTGCTATGTAGCAAAGAAAAGAAGGAGATTGGGCAAGATAAGCAGTCAGAAAGAAACAGGAGGCTCAGACCCAGAGTTCTAGGCAAATTTACCAACTTCTGTGCTGTAACTTAAGGGTATAAAGAGTGGTAGAGACCTCTTGTGGGCATTGCTTGAAGTGCTATGTCACTGTGTCTAATTTGGTCCAAAGTGAAGCTTAGCTTCTTTGAGCCTTAGTCCAGGTAGCTTTAAGTAGGTATATACTTAAATATAAGTAAGATCTTCAGAAAAGTAGATTAAGCAGAAACCTAATTATATTCTCTCTTTGAAAGAGTGCCCAGGCTTTGTGTGGAATTTACAATGCTGTTTAGGTGGGCTATTTGTATTTATTTTATTGTAGCTGACCAATAATGTTAAAACTGCCTTTTATTTTATAATGCCTTAAACTGTTTGGCTCCCCTTTTAAGAAAAAAATCTTTATTTATTTCAGGATTTGACCCCAAACTCTTCCTCATTTTCCTCCTTGGACTTATGTTGTTTTTTTGTGGAGACTTATTGAGCAGGTAGGTTTGAAGGCTAATGTACAGCTTGAAAAGGTCTGACTTTTATCATAAAAGCCATAAGTACTGCCATCCCCCCTTCAGGCCTATATGTCTTAGATGTTGCCTTCTTGTATATTTTTAAAATAACATGTGTTGTGATTTTTGTTGTTTTCTGATTTGAATAGCAATGTTAATAATGAAATTCTCCCATTGAGTAGACCCATGGAGGGCCAATAGGAGTTAGACAGTTACTGTAAAGGTGACCGTCATTATCCTTTTTACTGTTAGAGTTAATACTTGAAGGTCTCATATTTACAGGGTCATATGTTGATGAGTTTCATACTGTTCACATGTAAGGAGACAAACATAAGCTGCTGTACATTGCTTTTCTTTTTTACCTACTGAGAGAGGTGAAACTGTTATGTACAGATGCAAAGAAAATATGGATAACTAAGAAAACATTGGATAAAGGTTGAATCATCATTATGTATATATGAAGTAAAAAATATTTGTGGAATAGTGAATGAAAGATTAAAAATTAAAATTTGAAGTTGGAATGAAGTGGAGTTGGTGGAAATTTTTCCTTACTTTGGGGGATCCTAAGAGAAACTCACAGAGAGCAGGAAATAATTGAAGAAAGAACCTGGAATGGAAATAGGACCTTTCTGTTCTAGGACCCATGAAAGGTTAATTTATCTTTCTGGATAGTCAGTTTGGTTTTAGTTTTTACTGTCTACTTGGGCAGTATTCTTGTTCCTTCCTTCTCCCCAGAGAAGCTGAGTTGTTCCTCAGAAGAGAGATTCTTAATAAGAATTGGGTTGGGGGCTGGGGTTGTGGCTCAGCAGTAGAGCACTCGCCTAGCACCTTCGAGGCCTTGGGTTCAATCTTCAGCACCACATATAAATAAATAAAACAAAGGTATTGTGTCCAACTACAACTAAAAATAAATATTAAAAAAAAAGAATTGGGTTGGGAGAGAGATTGGGGATGTGAGTGGAAGATCAAGCATAGTTATTTATTGTGGGGATATATTTGAGAGGACCTCATTGATAATAATCTTCATAATCTCCCAGCAACTATATTGTATCAGTCTTTATAATTCTCTGACCTAAAGTTTTTGGTAAATACCTACTCTAATCTCATATCTTAAAAAAAAAAAAAATCCTTTGGCTGGTTAGTTGCCCTGGCTTCAATAATGCTGTGTACAGAGTCTATACCAACAGTCATGAAATAAATTTTTTCTCTGCAGGAGTCAAGTTTTCTACTATTCCACGGGGATGAGTGTGGGAATTGTGGCTTCTCTACTAATTATCATTTTTATACTATCCAAATTCATGCCCAGGGTAAGTAGCAGAATCTTCATATGCAGTTAGGATGAACTCAGAATAGCTGAAGGCCTGTTTTCTTAGGTAATCTTAGAACATTGAAAATTTGCATTGATGACAGAGTGAATGCCCTACTCTTTCCTTGATTCTGAAAGGAACTTTCCTTGATGAAACTTGAAGCCTGATTATATACAAAACTCTCTTTATTTAAAATCCTGTGCTCAGTGGGAGTGTAAAGTCACTTTTCTGTTTTCTAATTGCATAGCCAGGCTTTTAAGTTATTTAGCATCTCATTTTCCTAGTGTTCCTTGCAGACTGTACCTTTTAGATATAAAGGACATCTTTTTAAGAGATGTGTTTTTTGTGCATTTTGAGTAGGTTGAATTTTAAGAAAAAAATCATAATTCCATTTTGCTTCTTTTATGTATGGAAAGTCTGTTGTAACTTTTGCTTTCACTTTTACTCTCTTAGAAAAGTCCCATTTACGTCATCCTGGTGGGAGGCTGGTCCTTTTCTCTGTACCTCATTCAGCTAGTTTTTAAGAATTTACAAGAGATCTGGAGGTGTTACTGGCAGTATCTTTTAAGTAAGTGTTGTCGGTTTTGCTTCTCTTTTTGCATGTTTGTAGGCTATTTTAGTTAATTTGATCATTAAAAGATGTTGCCTGCTTACAAAGAGTTAATAGTTTATGTCATTTGATTAATTTGAAAAATCATAGTTTTCCATTTATTTTAAACATCTCCACCATTACTACCTTATTTTAAATTAAAATGCAGGTATTATGGAGAAGATTTTAATTTGTTGGTATTTATAAATGCACTTCTCTTTGCACAAAAAGTATCTTTCTGACAAGTGATAAAATTGACTTTGTTAATATAATTATATTTTAAGTACATGAAGTCCTAACTCATTAAGTTCCAAGTTTTCAACTCTGTATATTTCAATGAAATTGACAAAAGTATGGTAAAATAATCTAGAGCTCATATATTTTTTGCATATATTTTATATACATGAAATATCTTTTGGAATACTCTAATTATTCACCTATTTTCTCAAAAGAATAGAACTGTAAAAACTTAATATTCATTTCAAAAGTTACCATAAATGGTATATTTCTTGCACAATTTAAGGATTTTTTTTTTTTTTTAATGGGTACTGGGGATTGAACTCAGGAGCACTCAACCACTGAGCCACATCCCCAGCCCTATTTTGTATTTTATTTATTTACAGGGTCTCACTCAGTTGCTTAGCACCTTGTCGTTGCTGAGGCTGGCTTGTGATCCTCCTGTCTCAGCCTCCTGAGCCGCTGGGATTATAGGCATGTGCCACCATGCCATCCGGCCAATTTAAGTTTCTTAGGTGTCTCTCATTTGGAACAATGGGACTTAAAGGGTTTAAGAAGTAAAAGACTACAGGGGCTGCTGGTCATGGTGGCCTATGCCTATAATCCCAGTGACTCAGGAAGCTAAGGCAAAAGGATTGCAAGTTCAAGTCCAGCCTGAGGAAGTTAGTGAGACCGTGTCTCAAAGTAAAAAATAAAAGGGCTAGAGATGTAGTTCAGTGATAAGAGTGCCCCTGGACTCAATCCTCGGTACCCCCATTTTCCTCAAAAGAAGACTGCAGTGAATCTTGACCATAAAATGAGAATTTTTTGGTTATGCTGATAGAAACCCTCAGTCTATCATTTGAGAAATTATGTGGTTATTAATCTATGTTTTCATATTTCAGGTTTTTAAAAGTAAACTCAGAATTTTTCAACATGTAGCTTTATTGTTCATTTGAACCAAATAGTACAACAGAAAAAGGATAGAAAATTAAAGATATAAGTGTGTGTTTATATGTGTGGGTGAGTGTATATTTATATTTTCTAATAGTGAAAAATGAAAAATTGAGTAAAGATCACATCCAGTTTCTGCTTCTGTAGATGCTATATTGTGAATTTAGTACTGCTCCCATATATATTATCTTTATCAGGTATAGATGAAAAAGAATTTTTTCTGATAACTTTTCTCATAGGCTACATCCTCACAGTTGGATTCATGAGTTTTGCAGTATGTTACAAGTATGGGCCCTTGGAGAATGAACGAAGTATCAACCTGCTGACCTGGACCTTGCAACTGATGGGCCTGGGTTTCATGTATTCCGGCATCCAGATACCTCACATTGCCCTTGCCATTATCATCATTGCACTGTGTACTAAGAACCTGGAGTACCCTATTCAGTGGCTGTACATCACCTACAGGTGACTGGAAGGCAGTATAACTTTGTATTGACACAGTGCAGTATGGGATACAGTTTGTAGCAAAAGGATCCAGAGGCGTTACCCTGTGAGAGCCTCTTTGTTAATGAGAAGTCACTGTGTTATTCTCTGACATTGTTTCTTCCTGAGACTATGTTTTTAGACTCTGTTAGGCTTTATAAAAATTTTTATTCTAATCATTTTATATAAAAGCATCCAGTAAATTGTTATGTGTCCCTGTTACCACTAGGTGGTGCAAATTATATCACTTTTATACCACAGACCTCAGGTTACCTTATTTCAGGTTATTTCACACTGGGGATCAAATTGCTCTGGAAGTCCTAATCTTATTTTAAGATGTAATTCATAGCATGTTATCACTTTGCATAGTGAATATGAAATGGTCATGGATTCTGAGATTATCAGTGGTTGTTCTATTTCAGATAGAGTGATACCTTCAGTTTGAGGAATGAAGTTAATAGACCACAATATTATAACATTGTTTTCTTGCTGTTTTTCTATTTATCAGGAAATAAATACTTTGTTTATTATTTATTGGAAGATAAATGAATTTATTCACATTAGTGAATAATAATGACTATTCCGACTTTTCATTTGTAATTTAATATGTCAGGATCCATCATAACTAAGGATGTCTATGGAAAAAAGTGGGAGTAATGACTCTTATTAAAATGTTCAGATTGTCTGCTGTATGCTTGGTCTGCTGAAGGGCTCTAGAAGTAAGGATGAATATAGGTTACTGATTAATGATTCATGATATTATTTTGGTGAGCACAGAAAGATGTGTAAGGCAACAGAAAAGCCTGTCCCCCCTCGTCTCCTGACAGAAGAAGAATATCGGATACAAGGAGAGGTAGAGACCCGAAGGGCTTTAGAGGAGCTCCGAGAATTTTGTAACAGTCCAGACTGTTCTGCTTGGAAGACTATTTCTCGAATCCAGTCTCCAAAAAGGTAAACTCTTAGCCAGATAAGCTAAGTATCTATCAGGGTAATTGTGACCTTGAATTCTAACAGAGATCATACTCTAGATAGTCATGTTGTATTTGTGGCCTTTGTTTATTGTTAATCTAAGGGTAGTCAAGAGAAAGATACCTATATCAGTAACCTGTTTCCTCTTTCCCCACTTTCCCCAAGGAACTACCTGCCTTACCTTTTATTTATAACACTGAGGTGGGATGATTCCATATTATGTCTGTACAATGAAAGTTTTACATTGTTCTCTGAGTTGGTTTTTCTTTTTTCTTGTTCTTTTTCCTTTTCCTTTTTGTTTGGGAGTAGTTATACCAATGAGTATGCGAAGCTTCAATTTGGAATCCTGACAGCATGAAGTTTATAGGGCTATAAACAAAAATAACTGTGTAATGCCCCTAATCATCTCTTATCAGGAATATGGTGACTCAAGGAACCTTAGCACTTCCGTGACTAAAAAGGACAGGCTAGTGCTTATTAAGCAGAATAGGGTTGCAGGGAAGGTTGGCCTATGATCCCAGCCTTCCTTTCTCTCTATTTCTTGCTTTATTCCATTTATCTGTCAGAGTAAAGACAGGGATATTGACGAGACTCATTATAATTTGAGTTGTGAACATAACAGGTGTTGTGATTTGTTCTTATTGAAGGACAACTAGAAAGGACAGAAGGCTGGGCTGCAGTTGTGGCTCAGTGGTAGAGCACTTGCCTAGCATGTGTGAGGCACTTGGTCCGATCCTCAGCACCACATAAAAATAAATAAATAAGTAAAATAAAGTATTGTGTCCATTTACAACTAAAACACATAAATAAAAAAATATATTTTTTAAAAGGACAGAAGGCAGATTCCTAATGAATATTACCTTCTCTTTTCCAGATTTGCTGACTTTGTAGAAGGTTCGTTCCACCTCACACCAAATGAAGTTTCCGTCCATGAACAGGAATATGGATTAGGGAGCATTATTGCCCAGGATGAGGAAGCAACTTCTGAGGAGGAGGAGGAGGACTCAGGTTCTCAGCACCTCATTGCCACACAGAACAATTTCCTGACTTAAGTGTGGTGGTTATTTATTTTCATGTAGACTGATTTGGTGCCTCGGTGGTTGTGTTGCAAACACTGTGCATTTCTTACAGGCCTTTACAGCAGGTTGAAGGATAGTGCAGAAATTAAATGAGAGGCCTGAGTAGATCTCTCTGGGAATGATTGTGGTAGTCTCTGTGGGATCCCTAAGGAGGGAGAGTGGACAAAGTGAATGCTATGGTAGTGTGCTTTCCACCTGTTAAGTTATTAGCCCACTTTTCTGTTTCTAAAAAAACTGGAAGGTCACAGCCAGCATGGCATTCTAGCTCCTCTTTGAAAGTTGATTTGATCATGACATTTCTGTCACTGGCTGGTCCTCTAAAATGAGAATTTTAAGTAGGGCTTTCAGACTAGAGGCTGCATCTTCCAGAGAAAAATCCATAAGTCTGAACATCCTTCGCTTTCTGCTTTTATTACAGTGACTTTAGAATAATCCTTGATTTAACTGTTTTGAGAGGAAAATGGATTTTTTGTCTGTCTTATTTTTTTTATTTTTTTGTAGTTGTAGATGGGCAGCATGCCTTTATTTTTTTTTATTTTTATGTGGTGCTAAGGATTGAACACAGTGCCTCACACATGCTAGGCAAGTGCTCTGCCACTGAGCTATAGTCACAGCGCCTGTCTTGTCTTTTAAACAAATATGTTTTTTAAAATATATCAAACTCATGTTCCTGAACCAGCAAATGCTCCAGAGTGATAAGCCCAGTTGGCCCCTAGATATTTTTATGGATTATTCATTAAAGCCCTAGGAGCTGTGTGTTGAGCTTTGAATTAGTTCTTACACATGATATTCTGAGTCCTGCTTGCTTTTAGTAACATGCCTATAGGTTCTTCTATAGTGAAGAGCTCTTGAACTTTTTATTTTATTCAACATTTAATTCCATTTTAAAAATATATTTGCCTTTTTCTCTTCCTATTCCTCCTGCACTCTTTTTCCCTTTGAGGAAGGGTCTATTTCATACAGTTGAGAGTTTGTCTCATTTCTTCCTTATCTTCCCCTTGGTTTATAGCATTATTCCTGCTGGCCAGGAGAAATGATGATGTTTACCCCATTTTTTTTTCTCTCATGTGTTACATACATTGAGTTGCTATGGAACCAAGAAATTATCTCCTTTCCTTTTTTCTTCCTTTGTATGCCCATTTTATCTATTCCTTTCAGTCTTTCCTTACTCCTTGCACTCTCCCATTCTGGCTAATTTGTTGATTCAGGCTAATTTGTAAGCCCTAAAACAATCTGTGAAGTTTCTTGATGCCTTGCCAGGAAATAGGTCTCCAGGTTATCTTTATGCCTCTGATGCCTATTTAGCCATCAGGAGAAGACACATTTTCCTAAGAATACTGTACTTATTTGTAATTACAATTCTCATCAGAGGTTCATGCTGCCTTTTGTTATAGTGGCATTACTTTCAGATTCTTTTGCCATTGGAAAGTACCCTTAGGCCAGCAATATCATTTATGAAGGAGCAAATTCCCAAGTATCTGTCATTTGCTTGGTTCTTTGTTATCCTCATTCTTGAACCCTGGAAAAAGCTATAATTCCTTTACCCAGGAAGATAGAAACTCATGGAAGGTACACAACATTGGATTTCCTGACTTATCTTTTTTTTTTTTTTTTTTTTTTTTTAAAGAGAGAGTGAGAGAGGAGAGAGGAGAGAGAGAGAGAGAGAGAGAGAGAGAGAGAGAGAGAGAGAGAGAGAGAGAGAGAATTTTTAATATTTATTTTGTAGTTCTCGGCGGACACAACATCTTTGTTGGTATGTGGTGCTGAGGATCGAACCCGGGCCGCACGCATGCCAGGCGAGCGTGCTACCGCTTGAGCCACATCCCCAGCCCCTTCCTGACTTATCTTGATCTTGGAAAAGAAAGATGTTTTTTTAAAAAGCTTTTACAACTTTTTCAGACCAGCTATTAGCATGTAGTTTTGAAAGGCCCCAGGCTCCATTGCTAACTTCTAAAATATCAGCTCTGAGTCTCCCCTCCAGGTGGCCAGTCGATTATTTCCATCAGGGTTCCCTGGAGCCTTAAACTATCCTAAAATGACAACTACCTCAATTGGTAGAAAGAGACAAATAATAGAAAGTGAAAAATGAGCAATATTTGGGCAGATGTCTTAAAGTCACAGAGTACAAGGAAACTTTTATGCCTTTGTAAATTGTGTACATGGTTAAATTTTATTCCTCTAAAGTACTACTAAAACCTCCAAGGGGCTGGACATGTACCTCAATGGTAGAGTAATTGCCTAGCATGTATGAAGCCCTAGGTTCAATCCCCAGCATTAAACACACAAAAACACACACACAAACACACACACACACACACCCTCTGAAGTGTTCTTTTACCTTATTTATAGTATTTGAGATCTAGCATATGCGAACATAAGTTGATTTGAAGAAGTAATTCCAACTGTATGGATGGTCTCAGGACTCTATGGGGATTTTGGTGCCTTCCCCAAAACAACTCCTAAGGAGGTGGTAGCTTTCCTCTAAGGTGACTTTTCCTGACTCATGTCTTTATTTTCATGAGAAAGGCATTGTGAAGTTAGGAAATGCTCTCCCTTTTCTGTATAGTAAACTCCTTGAGAACTATAGTTTCCATACCAAGACCAATTTTTCACTGTGCTTGAATTTGGGATGAATAAAATCAAACTATTTTATTTCTCCCTGTCTGGTAGTTGAGAACTGAATTGCAGGAAATGACAGTTGCCCTGCAGCATGAGAGTTGCTCTCAGACAGTGAAGGACGGTGCTTTTTTGGTGTGGAGCATGTCCTTGCCCTGCCTGCTTGTGTGGCTATACTTCAGAGCCCTGCCTGGAGATTGCTTGACTCTGTAAACCTTCTTTAGGAACTGTTCTTGTCTCCCTCATGGCCACTTAGTCTGCTGGCTCAGTCACTACTTGAAGCCCCTATTTAATTTTCTCTGGCAGTTATATAGCTCTTGCAATTTCAGCACAGTCTCATCTCTCAGACCAATCTCATCAAGAAGGATTGAAGGGATAACTGTGGGGTGAGATGGACATTGGAGCCATGTCTGCTGCCACGTCAGCGTCTTGCTTGCCAAATATCAAGCTGTAAATTGGCTCTGGGGCTCAGGGTCTCATCAGCATTGGAAATCTATTGCCTCTAATCGGTCTGACAAAGTTGTGTAGAGCATGACTCCCATTACTGGGAACACAGAGAGGCAACTCGCCTAAAATGTTTTCCTTTCACTTCCTCACTCATTGTTTTTGTGAGAGCAACAGAACACATTACCAAAATCAAGAAAAACTTACCCATTCCGGGACCTTCTAATAAGAAATTCCTATCAGTCTTCATCACACTAAAGTACTTTGTTTCTCCCCTCAAATTTGTGATTTTTAAGTTTTTTGCAAAGGGAATTCTGCTAATGATAGCTTTTTGGATCCCACATGTACCATTCTGTGAGAGTACATCCCATTCTAGGGGCCAGCCCTCTCTTTGTCCACTAAGTTTCCTTTAACTCAGTCTCCACTGGGTATATCTGATAGAGGTTTGATGAATTAAAGGATCCAGATAGACCAGATAGTCCCCCCAGGTCCTGATATCCAAAAAATAAGAGGCTTAGGAATGAATTATATAATTGGCCCTCAAATCTTTTTATTGTTACACACACACACACACACACACACACACACACACACACACACACAAGGATGGGCTCAGATGGATGCCTGCATAAAAATGATTCCTAACTATGTACTCATAACTCTTTTTTTTTTTTAATTAGTGGTGAAAGTTGAAGTAGGAGGGAAGGAAATTAAATGTCCTAGTGTTCCTTTGGACTCAGGTCTGACATGTTAGATAATAACCTATATTGAAATGCTAAGAATTTTATATGAACCAAGGAAAGGACAGTGGAACAGACTTATTGTGCCCTAACATTATGTAAGAACTGAAACCAAGTAAATAACCATTGCATTAGACAAATGCACCCAAAATTGTTATTTCTCTTTCTATGTAGCAGAAACTATTATTATTTTCTCCTCTTTAGAGGAACCTATGCAATTATGGCGACCAATGGTGTGTTAGTGATGTATGGATTCAGGTTGCTATTGAGTTGGATTCTAGACAGTTACTACCTGTAAAAGGGTGTTTGTGCCTTACCTTGCAAAAGCCAGAGCTTGCTGGGAATAAAAAAAACAAAACAACAACAACAAAAACAGATTCATGCCAATATTGACCTGCATCTTTAGCAGGAATGGGAGTGGTCACACAGACTTCCTAAATGTGTAGCTTTGGTGTCCATTTTCCCATGCCCATGTATATCATCTTCCTCTTTCACATTCTTGATGATGACTTGAAAATGTTGAAGTCACTTTTTTTGTACTTTCCTATAGCATGAGCAGCATTCTCATGTTAACGAATAGCTCATAATGTGAATTTTAGAAATTGCTAACAGTGTGCAGTTGCCAGTTTCCCATATTTATGGAATTAGTGTTGAGATAACAGGGCTAAGAAATCACTGTGTGAGTTTTAGCCTACAGGTAAAACCTTAGTATTACTTAGAGAAAAGATTTGTCATTTATATTTAAAATAAATGTTAATGAATGTTTGAAAGAAAAAAAATCAGGGATGGCTCTTTGCCATGGGTCTCATTTTGCCCACTTTTCTGTAAGAAAAAATAATGATGTCTTATGTATTTTTTCATTTGTATTATATGGTTTGTAAATAGTCCCAATTTTAATAAAGTTTTATAGACTATATAGTGGTCTCTCTTAATGAACTTACAGTCTTCTTGTTTGGATTTGATGTTTCTACGTAATCAGTAATTTACTCCTCAGTGTTCATACCATTAGTTTCCCTTTGCTTTTTAACCATCCTCCCCCATCCTGAGTCTTTCTGCTTCCATCATTGTCACCCTTCCCAGGTGACAGATCTCTAAGGGACATTTTTTTTTTCATTTTAGTCATCAATGGACCTTTATTTATTTATATGTGGTGCTGAGAATCGAACCCAGTGCCTCGCACATGGTAGGCAAGCAAGCGCTCTGCTACTGAGTTACAAAGAACATTCTTGTGTAAGTAGCAGGTTGTACTACTGTGCAGTCTCATAAAAAACCAAAGTAAAGGTTACTCCTTGTCCAGAGAACTACTCTGTGCTTTAGTTCTTTATTTATAGTATAAAGTATCTCTTGTTTTTCCACTAGGATTGTTGGGGAGACCTGTGGGTTCAGTGGATCCAGCTATGGGATGCC